CAAGATAAACTTAGCAGACAGGCATCCAAGCATAGCATTTATTTATTTATTTATTTATTTATTTATTTATTTATTAATTATTTTTAGGCATAGCTTTTAGATGATAGTAAACTAATACTCAGTATCAGATACATTCATTGAGCAAACATTTCTAAGCACCTAAATTTATTTCAGGCACTGTGCTAGGAATTCAAAGACAGTAACACTGCTCCAAGCTAAAACATGCTTATATGGAGGTTTAAACAGACATGTTATTATCATTAAACTTATAAAAGTGATTGAAGTGTTACTGTAGAATCAGGTGTGATAAAAGTGTCTACTAGATGTCTGTGTAGAAAATTGGCACACAGATGGAGTGGCTAGTATATTGGGGTGGAGGACAGAAAGCTTAGTATATCTAGTTTTAGTAATTTTATTTAAAAAAAAAAATTTTTTTTTTTAACGTTTATTTATTTTTGAGACAGAGAGAGACAGAGCATGAACAGGGGAGGGACAAAGAGAGGGAGACACAGAATCTGAAACGGGCTCCAGGCTCTGAGCTGTCAGCACAGAGCCCGACGTGGGGCTCAAACTCACGGACCGTGAGATCATGACCCGAGCCGAAGTCAGACGCTTAACCGACTGAGCCACCCAGGCGCCCCTAGTTTTAGTAATTTTAGAAGACAGGATTTACCATAATGAAACCCCAGACAGATTAGTACTTCTTGTTTAGTAATTTACATTTACTCTTGGAAATACTCGGTTAGTATTTGGGGGCTGCTTAATTTTTTTATCTGAAGGTAATACCCCAAAATAATAGAAATTGTCTTTACTGTCTTGGGTATGTTAATACCAAGCTGCCTGTGATTAAATCAAATTTGAGTTATGTGATTTCAAGTTACATTTATTATTAAAAAGTTAGAAATAAAAGACTCACAAAACATAATAGAAATTTTTATAGTATCACCACCTGGAGATATCCCATGTTTGCTTCCAGTATTTTATTTTAAACCTATGTAAATGAAATCAAAGATAGCTACTGAAAGCAATTGATGTTTTTCTTCAAACAGGGGTTGCTTTGACTGCAGATACTAAGATCCAAAGAATGCCAAGTGAATCAGCCGCTCAGTCCTTAGCTGTGGCATTACCTTCTTCTCAGACCAGGGTTGACGCAAATCGTAATGCACCTGCTGGAGGTGAATACCGACATCCGGCGGCTGCTGACCGTTCACAGCCTGCAGGGATGACTTCAGTAAGTTTCTCTGTGTCAAATCATGCTGCAGGTTTCTAATTTTTGGAACTTGTTGCCTTATTTTCCTTTATTGCAAGAGTCTTCAGTTAAATACTAAATAAATGAAAATTTGCCTTGGAATTACTGAAGTAAATAGTGGCTGACTGAGCTAGTTGTTAGTATTTCATGGCCCTAAAATTTAAGTTGCTAGTGAATTGATAGATTTTTTAGAATTTAACATTTTGTTAATCTGTGTCTTTTACACATTGTACGTAATGCTTATTTTGATGTACATAATGTGATGTTGCCCTTTATTATCCACTATTAAAAGTGCAAGGAATGCTATTCTAAAACTTGTGTTAATATGGTTTAAATATGAAAATCTCTTTTTTGTTAAACCCTTAGCTGGCTGACACAGTTTAGTGCTGTTAGTAATGTAATATTCATAGGCTGTAGAACTTGTATGTTATAAATGAGCATTTAGAAATACATAAGTTTATGCGTAAGTAAATGGTAGCTAAATTGGTGAAAGTAGTTATAAAAAGAATAACTGAAAATACCTAGTTTGTTTTATTATGCTGCCACTTGAATAACTGCAGACTTTGATTCCTTAATTTATTATGCAGTTATTTGGCTTTATGAAATGAATTAATCTGTGGTCTTCCCACCACATTTCTTCTTTTGCCTCCATTCACAGATCTCTGCCCAGGCTTTCTGCCTCCTTAGGAGGAGGTAATGTAAGCTTCTTGAGGGCAGGAACTTTATGGCTTAAGTATGTTTTGGCTGCATGGATGGATGCTAATAGTAGATGGTACATCAGCTAGATATATTTATTTATTTAGTTAGTTTTTAGTGTTTATTTCTGAGAGAGAGAGAGACAGACAGACAGAGCCTGAGCAGGAGAGGGGCAGAAAGAGAGGGAGACACAGAATCTGAAGCAGGCTCCAGGCTCTGAGCTGTCAGCACAGCACAGAGCCCGACGTGGGGCTCGAACTCACGGACCGTGAGATCATGACCTGAGCCGAAGTCGGACGCTTAATGAGCTGAGCCACCCAGGCGTGCCTAGAGTACCTTTTAAAATGTTAATTAAGTATTTTTGGAAGGTAGTTTCTCCTTTGCAATATTAAATCAATAATGTTAAAATACAACAATGACAGGCGGAGACATTAATCCACTTGCAATCACTCAAATAATGGTAGGAGCTTATATAGAGCATTTACAGAGTAGTAATAATTAATGTCTTTGTAGTAACTGTATGAAATAGGCACTGTTATTTCCACTTTACAAAGCAGGCATAGAGGTTATGTAATTTTTACCCAAAGTCAGTCAGCTAGTAATTGGCAGAGCTGGGTTCATGAACACATGCTTAGTGATATGTGCTCTTAACTCTAATGTTCTGCCTCTGAGATTTTTTAATTGATTTTTAAAATTAACATACAGAAAATATAATTCTGATTAGAAGTCTTAGGTGTGCAGACATTTTCTAGTTATGCAAACATTTTAGCTGTCTTTTCATCAAAGGGGGTAAAAATTAGCCTATAAATCCCCTTTTAAAATTTTTCATTTTTGATTTAACATGAAATGTTAGGTATGTCTTTAACAATAATGTAATCTGTTCTATATCTAGGCTGTTATGGAGGCTGGCAATGCCAAGAACTCTGCACTGATGGCTAAAAAAGCCCCTACAATGCCCAAACCCCAGTGGCACCCACCATGGAAACTGTACAGGGTGATCAGTGGACATCTTGGCTGGGTTCGCTGTATTGCTGTAGAACCTGGAAACCAGTGGTTTGTAACTGGATCTGCTGACAGAACTATAAAGGTAATAAAGAAGGAAGAAAAAAAAATAGGACTTTGTATTTGCTATATAAATTTTATCTTTTATTTTCCTGGGTGGAGATTTCTTTTGTACTTTCTGTGATTTCTTAGACCTGAGTTTGGGGTAAAAGTTACTATATTTATCAATTCACTGTTCTGAATAAATATGTTTGAGAAATGATATTTAAGTAACAAGTTTTCCAAACAGTACATACTAACTACCTACCACTAATTCCTTGATTTTTACCTTTTTTCTCTTCTGGTTACAAAATTAAAGTATGATTATTTATTAAAAAATGTGGAAAATATAGAAAAATATAAAAGAATACAGACCCATACATAATCCCAACACTGTCAAATAATTTGAACATGAATTTCTGTTTAGTATTTATTTCTATGCATATGTGTCATTATATTTACTTCTGAGCTCTTTTCCTGTGTGTGTGTAAGTGCGTATTTTGTTTATTTTGAGGTCGAGAGAGAGAGTGTGTGCACATGGGCATGAGAGCAGGGGAAGGGCAGAGGGAGAGAGAGAAACCCAAGCAAACTCTGTGCTACCTGTGCAGAGCCCAACACGGGGCTTGATCTCAATGACCTGAGCTAAAATCGAGAGCCGGGTGCTTAACTGAGCTACCCAGATGCCCTTTTATTTTATTTATTTTATTTTTTTATTTTTTATTTTTTTTAAACGTTTATTTATTTTTGAGACAGTGAGAGACAGAGCATGAACGGGGGAGGGTCAGAGAGAGAAAGCAAGACACAGAGTCGGAAACAGGCTCCAGGCTCTGAGCTGTCAGCACAGAGCCCGACGCGGGGCTCGAACTCACGAACCGTGAGATCATGACCTGAGCCCAAGTTGGACGCTTAACCGACTGAGCCACCCAGGCGCTCCCCCAGATGCTCTTTTAAATGTGTATCTTTAAAAAGTCATGCTTGATGTATAATTTATACTCTGGTTTTTTTTCCCACTTAATATTATATCAGAGGCATGTTTCTGTGAAAAAAGGATATATCACTTAGGTATTCTATACTGTTTTCCTGTTGTTAGACATTAAACTTTTTAGTTTCTTGATTTTCACCATCGCAAGTAATGCCGTAATTAATCGTTGAGCCTAAAGCTTTTTGCTGTATTTTAAATTACTTTGTTACTATAGATTCCCAGAAATGGAATTAATGGGTTAAACGTTTTTGAGGTTGATACTCAGAGTACAGCTTATTTTCCAAAATGGACTAATTGATACTTGCAGTGTATGAGAGAATCCTTTTCAGCACACTGGTTGTGTATTTTTAAAAATACCTACTAAATGTTAAGCAGAAATGGGTATCTAATCTTTTGAAAACTGTACATAAAAAAATTTCTGGTGGGTTTGAACTTTTTGATACCTAATAAAGCTGCTTTTAGGTTTTTTCAACATACATATATATTTATTTATTGAGGTATAGTTGACATACATTATATTAGTTTTAGGTACACAATGTAATGATTCAGTATTTATATACATTGTGAGATGAATACCACAATAAATCTAGTTAACATCTGTCACCATGCATAGTTACAGATTGTTTTTTCCTTTTAGAGAGAATTTTTGAGATCTACTCTCTTTTAACAACTTTTAAATATGCGGTGCAGTATTAATAAATAACAGTCACCGTGCTGAACATTATATCCCCATGACTTATCTACTTTATAACTGGAAGTTTGTACCTTGACTCTCTATCCATTTTGCCTACTCCCCACCCCACCTCTGGCAACTACTGATCTATTCTCTTTATCTCTGAGCTTTGTTTGTTTGTTAATGTTTGTTTGTTTTTAGAGTGTATATGCCAGTACAATCACACAGTATCTTTGTCTGACTTATTTCACATAGCATAATGCACTCAAGGTTCATCCATGTTGTCATAAATGGCAAGATTTCATTCTTTTTCATGGCTGAATGATAGTTCATTGTGTGTGTTTTTGTGTGTACATACAGATACACTTTTTTTTTTTATCCACTCATCCATTGATGGACATTTAGTTTGTTTCCATAGGGTTGTTTTTTTATTAAGGTGTTGCCATCCTTGGCTAATTTAATGTCATTGATACTTTCAGTATCTATGATATCCCTTTATATATACTAAGATTTTGTCACTTATTGCAAATACTTTCCTAGTTTGAACGTGCTTTTTTTATTCTATTTTTTCCCTGCTTAACAAGGAAGATTGGTGGGAGATTGGTTTTGAAGACTTATTTTTAATATCAAGATTCTAAAAATTTGCTTTGGAATAATCCAAAAGAAAAAAATTAAATATTCTTTGATTGCAGATCTGGGACTTGGCTAGTGGCAAATTAAAACTGTCATTAACTGGGCACATTAGTACAGTGCGTGGTGTGATAGTAAGCACACGGAGCCCTTACCTGTTCTCCTGTGGAGAAGACAAACAAGTCAAATGCTGGGATCTTGAATATAATAAGGTTATAAGGCACTATCATGGACATCTGAGTGCAGTGTATGGTTTGGATTTGCACCCAACAATTGATGTGCTGGTAACCTGTAGTCGAGATTCAACTGCACGGATTTGGGATGTGAGAACTAAAGCCAGTGTGCACACATTATCTGGACATACAAATGCAGTTGCTACAGTGAGGTGTCAAGCTGCAGAACCACAAATTATTACTGGTATGACTGATAGCTTTTAAATTTATAGTGTATTTAATCAGAATGCATTGTGATTATGCATATGCTTTTCCTATTCACTATGACTCTTGCTTTGTATTGTAGACACATTGGGTGTGCATTTGAAATTTACTGTGGTAATTTTTCATTTGATTGTTTTTATCTCAAACTGTACATATCAGAATATATCACATCTCAGTATCATGTAATGTTTGATCAGAAATGCTTCTGTTAGATACGATTAGACATTGTTTCATAGTATCAAAATTACTGGTCTAAGAAGTTGAAATTAGAAGGTGAAATACCCTGAGACCAATTACTTTTAGAGCTGGTTTGAGTCTTGTTTTACTTACAGGAGGATTAATAATAGATCTTTACTCGGGGTGCCTGGGTGGCTCACTTGGTTAAGCGTCGGACTCTTGATTTCGGCCCGGGTCATTCTCTCACAGTTGTGAGATTGAGCCCCATGTTTGGTTCCATGCTGAGCGTGGCGTCTGCTTAAGATTCTCTCTCTCTCTCTCTCTCTCTCTC